ATGTTAGCATCACTCTTGTTGATGGATTGGATTCCAGTGGGTCAAGTGCTCCTGGTACCAGCTAACTGTGGCAGTGGAGGGATAGAGTCACATGGAACAAGCTAGTTGCAGGCTGCCACGGCTCAGGTGCACCCAGTCTTCAGAGAAGAGGAGTGAAGGTGGAGCACTTTCCCCAAAACATGTGCACTTCCTCCCATCTCTGTCAGAGACTAGGAGGCCGGAGGGAGTAACCAAATTCTTGGGTTCAGCCTGTGGTAAAGTCCTCTGTACTTTATGTCCTTGGGTTCCATGAGCTATGATGCATATTTATACTATAGATCCCTTTTGTGATTAAGGTAATTTAAGTGGATTTCTATTGTGTGCACACAACCTGAGTGAGTAGTTTATCTGGATAGTTCGTCCAACATCTAACAAGGTCCTACAGGAGTTGACTCAAGTTGACTCAAGTCTGCAACACATTTTTTTCTTTCTACAACCCTTCCCCTAACTTATACATACATTTCTAAATTTCTTAACTTGGAGTCTGGATTAAGGTAATTAAAAAGGGTAAAGCATGCATTTTCATGCTTTTGCTCGAATGCTCCCAGGTCTCCAGGGGCTAGAAATTTCTTATTGTTTTAAAGTTTTGTGGGGGTTTTTTGGCTTTTTTTTTTTTGCATTCCTTATTGGTGGCTGTGGCGAAATGAGTCCTAAAGAAGTGGGATCTAATAAAACAGAGTTTCACCTCCACCCTTTACAGCTGAGAAAAGTGAGCCCGGGAAGGAGACGAGAGTCCCTAGAGTCACAAGATGAATGAGTCACTGGTCATTGGAAGCCCTGTGTATGCTGCTTCCTTGTTCAAGTTAAGTATAGGGCTCCTCCCTTCAATCTCTGTGCCCCCTTCCATCTTCCCATCACTTACCTCTCCACTCCAGAAATAATAATAAAAATAGCAACAGCAACAGCAGTGATAACAAGAGCTAACAACATGTGTTCAGTGCCCACAGTGTATGGGAACATAAGTTCTTCACACACATTATTACACACACACACACACACACACACACACACACACACACACACACACACATCTAATAGATGAGGAAGCTGATTATTAAAGTTTCAAGTAACAAATAGTGTCAAATAGTAAGGAGGAGGTTCTTTTTATATTTTGTTAATCCTCACAGAGGATAGTTTACCTCTTTAATTTTTAGAGAGAATGGAAGAAGGGGAGAGGTAGGAGAGAGAGGATTCATCATTCAGTCTCACAAATCCTAAGCCGAGGCCAGGGGTCGAACCTGCAACCCAGGTACATGCCTTTACTAGGAATCAAACTCGTGACACTTCCGTGGGCAGGATGATGCTCTAACCACTAAGAAACACTGATCTCCCTGCTAAAAGTCCTCAGTGTATTCTGTATTTTTTCTCAGGACCCTGAGATGGTTGGTGATTATCTGTTCTTTTGTGGTATGCAGGTGTCTTCCCAGCAGAATGAAGCACATTGCGAGAACTGTACTCACTAATGTTTGACTTAAGCCAGAAAGCACATGAGTGACTTGCAGGTATCAAATTAGATATTCTATTAAAACAAAGATTTCTCAAAAACCAGTAACTAGACATTTGATTTGGAGGCTTCACATTTCATACCTTTACCAAATGACAAAAGTAAAAGTTTGAAACACTATAATTCCCTACTGTGGCTGAGCAGAATGTATCCGGTCTTTTATTGTCCTGGTATGTATTTTCATGCTTTTGCTCAAATGCTCAGAGTTTTTACCAGGACAGTCTCTCTGCCCCTGACTTGATAGCCAGACAGAAAGGATTTGAAACCATCAAAGGGAGGTTACTGGTCACTGTTAATATTTTTGTGATTTAAATTAGTTCATGAAGGAAAACACTCAGTTACTCATTCAAAAAAGGAAATAAACAAAAACAATCAAAGCAAAGCTCTTCTAGTCCTCACTTTCTAGCTCAAAGTAGCTCCATTCATTTAACCTTTCATTTTTATGTCCTGTTTTCTAATTCTTTAAATACATATTGCTTTTCTCTTACTTCTCATCAAACACTTAATAATTCAAAATGTGTAGCACTGAACACCAGATAAAAAGCCAATATTAGCCCTAACCGGTTTGGCTTGGTGGATAGAGCATTGGCCTGTGAACTGAAGGGTCCCAGGTTCAATTCCGGTCAAGGGCATGTACCTTGGTTGCAGGCACATCCCCAGTAGGAGGTGTGTAGGTGGCAACTAACCAATGTTTCTCTCCCACTGATGTTTCTATCCCTCTCTCTTCCTCTCTGTAAAAAAAATCAATAAAAAATAAATATTTTTAAAAAGGCAATATTAGACCTAATATGTGTTGAGTGACTGAAACAGAGCAGGAATAAGGTCTCTTTCCATTAGGCATGTTCCAATGCTTCCACATCTGCCTCACTAATACTTGGCCAGAGTTTACTCTGCTGACAGCTAGAATTCATTCTCCTATGGTGATGTTTAACGTCATCGCCGGCTACGGTGCTACTTCGGAAAGGGTTTGTGCTAAGCAAATAATGTATATACAGTAGAATTGCATTTTGTGAAAAGCCAGGAGCTCAGCCTGTCACCAACCCACTTTATGATCTGGGTCAAGCTCCCTGTATCTTAGTTTCCTCCTCTCTAGATGAAGACTGAAGTTTGAGACTGGATGGTTTCAACAGTTCAACAGAGTTAACAAGGTGACACAAGTATCATTGCTCATCATGTCTAAAAAGCTTATTCTACTGTCAGGCTTTTGAAAATATACAACAAATACAGTTAGATATTCCTTCGGGGTTGCTTCATGATTCAGTTTGATGAATTCTAAACAAAGGAGTAAAACATTTTCTAGAAAGATGCTATAGAAATCTGACACTTGGAGGAGCTGTGGAGTTATCCTATATAATAAAGAGCCAATATGCAAATGGTCATCATGCCCTCACACCATCATGCCATAACAGCTCAGACACTCAACTCTGGGGAGAGAGGAATGGGGACCAGCCAGGCACAAATGAGCTCACAAGAGAGGAATGGGGACCAGCCAGGCTGCGGCCCAGGAGAGGAACATGCCGAACTCCCACAGTCCCTTGCTGCTGTGGCCAGCCCAGGCAAAGCCAGCCTGGGTCCTGGGTACCTGTGGCCGGCCAGAGGGAGGGAAGCCCAGGTCCTGGTGCCTGTGACCAGCTGGAGGAGGGAATCCTGGGTCCTGGGTGCAGGCGAGGCAGAAGTGGTTAGGGGAGATCAGGCCAGCGAGGGAGAAGTTAGGGGCAATAAGGCAGGCAGAGGGATTAAGGGTGATCAGGCAGGCAGGCGAGTGGTTAGGAGCCAGATTGCGAGAGGCAATTGGACATCCCCCGAGGGGTCCTGGATTGGAGAGGGTGCAGGCCAGGCTGAGGGACCCCTCCTCCTCTTCCTCCCCCATACATGAATTTCATGCACCAAGCCTCTAGCACAGCAGTTCTCAACCTGTGGGTATTGACCCCTTTGGGGGTTGAATGACCCTTTCACAAGGGTTGCCTAAGACCATAGGAAAACACATATATAATTACATATTGTTTTTGTGATTAATCACTATGCTTTAATTATGTTCAATTTGTAATAATGAAATTGGGGGTCACCACAACATGAGGAACTGTATTAAAGGGTTGTGGCATTAGAAAGGCTAAGAACCACTGCTCTAGTAGGTAATAGTCAGCTAATACTATTTCAAAATATGTTGTTATGTCATTTATAAAACTGACTTTTTAAAAAGGAAGATTTTAAATGGTTATAAGGTACACAGAGATGGTAAGGGAGAGGAAGAGGTCATAAACTGTGAACTTACCATCACCAATGAGAAGGGTTTGCATTACTCAGGGATCTAGGGATTAGCAGGGCAGCCTATGAGGGGCTTCAGGCATAAGGGAAATGTAAAGCTCTTAAAAACCATGTTCTGATTAAGAATGTGCTTGCATGGAAAACATAAAGCTCCTAGTGAAGACTAAATTGGAGTCCACCTTGGGAGAACATTTAGTCACAAAGGAAAATAGCGTGTTTTACAGCATGAAGGACACATTGAAATACTGAATTAAAAGAGCTCAAATAAAAAGGGTTTGGAGGCAGATGAATGCATGTGGCACTGCCATATTCCATTTCCAACTGTCCCAACCAGGGACTTTTGGGAAATATGGACATGGCATAAGTAGGGATTTCCCTCTCTTCAACTGAGATCACGAGCCCTGAAGGGAGATATACCTGAAGCTGCTGTGGCCATCTTTGCCACTGTATGGAGAGTCTCTGTCTGAGTGTAAAGACCACATATTGTATAACATTATTTCTTAAACCATGATTTACAGAAAAATGACCACATGCTTGAGGGTTAGGACAATATCAAATTATTATAAAAAGTTCGTAAATGCCTACTCTTGAGTTCGGTAGTACTTGTTGAATCACACACAAATAACGAATGGTTTGCAGACTAGCCCCAGTCCGCAGACCATACTTTGAGTAGCATTCTGGTAAGGCAGGGTGAAGAGATAAAGAGAAACAGATTCCTATTCATTGTTTGAATACTGTATCTGGATCTATCTAAATACAAACAACCCTAAAATGGCTTAAGTGAGTTGCTTAATTCAGCTCAAGTTGGGTTTCTGTCACTACAGACTTGACGCAGTCTTTATTAAAACACACAGCTAGGATGCTGCCAATCATTCTTTCTAAAACCATGGCTGGCATCATTAATCCATCACAGCATTCTTTCCCAAATATTCAGACACAGCATCAAAATTCTTCTAAATATAGTGCTCAATGCAGTCTTTAGCCGATAATCGGAGTTTCCAAAGTCATTTAAACCTACCTAGTATTCCTGAAGCCCTCCTCCTGAGGTCTTACACTTAGTAAATCCTTGCTTTTTTCTTTGTTTTGGCATATGTTTAACAAAGCAGTCCTCACTGTCAATGCAAATTTCATGTACTTTGCTTCTCATATAGCCAGAAAGTAAATAGAATCCAACTGTGAATTCAGTTCTTACCTGTCGCAAATCATACACAGTTAAGACAATGGAGATAACAGACAAGATGATGATGGCGACAGAGTATTCTATGTAACCTTGAGACATCCACAAAGTCAAGGTAAAGGCTTGGAACACATAAAATGGATTTAAAACCTGCAGGTACAAAAATAACAATTAAGTCACTTATAGTTAAGATGATGTCATTTCTTTATAGAGTTGTATTTCCCATTTTTTATAGCATCCAACAACATCTATTATTTCAGAATGCACTTAGAACTCCATTAATTTCGGTGGAGGCAATGTCAAGAACATAGAATGTAATAAGGTGGAAACAAATTATTTTAAGCACTCAAAGGCATGGCCACAAATTGATCATTCTTATTATTTTGAATTTTCAAAAATACATTACCAATATCAAAATTCAACAATTTTCATTTTTAAACATATTTACCCATAGTGGTGGAGAAACTGGATTTAGTCTCATTTTTAAACAAACTTCATTTTGAACATTTTTCCTGCAGGGTTTTTTTCCCCCCACGTTATCACATGCTATAGATTTAGTCAAACGGTGCAGTGAAAGTTAAAGATTCTAATTTAACCCGGACATTTTAAAATAACCTACTCTTATGTTACAGATCTTAGAAAGATCCTCTGAGAGCCAGTCAAGTCAGCATAGGCCTTCCCTTGAACAGGAGAAGCAGTGAAGAAAAAGATCTTAACCAAGTCTGCAGTAAAAACCAGGGGCAGATTGCATTGCCAGCCCCAAAGCTAGATATCTATGCAGGTATATTTTAGTAATACATTCAACTACATTTCCTGCTGATTTCTCTATTAATGATAGTAGCAGAGCAACCTGATGGGGCGGTGCTAGAGATGGTCACATGACACACACAAGTAGTGAGAATTAAAGAGCCCATCTGAGCAAAGCAAGGATTCTTTTCTTGGTGAAGCACTCTTTATGATGATTATAAATTAGATGAAATACCTAAAACCAGTGCCATTCTTCCTTCCCTCTATTTTCCATAGTTCTCTAATATGTTAATTACACTTCTACTTTAGTCCTAAAAATGAACTGATATCTGGTTAAGAAGTGAATAGGCTGTACCTTAAGAGTTTCTTAAACCCTTAGGTATATTTTGTACATTAAAAAAGCTTTTGTTCCTTAATGGTTCTTATTATTTCTATTGCACAATGACTTTTTTGTTTACAAATTATAGCTTTTCTGGTTGCTTGGCATAAAATGTTCTAATTGTATATTATGCATTAATGATAATATGATTTCCAGTTTATACAAACTCAGTAGAAAATTTGTTAGATACTTCTTGTTAAATACTATCATAATTAATGTAGTTCTCTTATTCAATATTGTTTTGAAACCAAATGTGAGAAAAACAGTTTTACCTGCTTTTTTTTCTATTAAAGGCCTGGTAAATAGGTGCCAGAAAAATACTAGCACTTCTTTCAAAATAGATCAATTGACACCTGGGAGAGTGTTTGGCAATTTGAAAATGTACTTGAATAAGAAGTTTAAGAAGCAGCTTGCTTTTCCAGAGTGGCAGAGTCTGTGTATACGTGGGGACATGGGGTAAATGGGAAATCTCTGTACTTTCCACTTCATTTTGCTGTGAACCTAAGGCAGGGGTGGGCAACCCCTGGCACGCGTGCCAAATATGGCACGCCTGTAACTTTTGCTGGCACGCGAAACCCTCTCTTATAATCTTCTATTTACAATTTTTTTCTTAATATCGACTTTTTTATTTTTCAGATAAATTCAGTGTAGGTGCATCTTAGATAAATAAATAATTTTACATAACAAGTTATCTTAAAGACCATAGACATGGATTGACAAGAGAGGGGAAGAGCAATTTCTATGCCTCTGCCTTAACTCTCCCTGCCTTCCTAGATATGACCAGTGTTTTGGTTTCATCCACATACGTTTGTGAACCTTTGTTCTCAGTGATGAATTTTGTTAAGTCTCCTAATAGGAGTAGCCTGACAGATGAAAGTAGTAGCTCGTGCATATCTCTGAAGGTCACGAAATATAAACCTGATGTAAAATCTCTGTCATCAGTGATGCAGCAGCAAAAGTCCCACTGATAATATCAAATGAAGTCATAAAGTTTTCTGTCGGACTATCAGTGTACATGTATACATTAAAAATAAATGTATTTTTCATCATCATATACTGTGTTTTTGTCGCTCGAATGAATTTTATTATTTCTTCAAGGTTCTTCACATACGTACACCTTAAGAGATATCAAGTAGGCGTAACATGTTCTCAAAAAATTAGGGCTGGCATGCAGAAGACTTTTGAGTCAGAGATTTTGCTGGTTTTGGCACGCACTCACATAAAGGTTGCCCACGCCTGACCTAAGGTGAAGAGTCTAATAAAAATTTATTTTATAAAAGATATGACCATGATCAAAAATAAAATTACCATCGTTGTGGATTAGAAATAGACTAGAAACATGCAATTGAGTGAGGACTAATGTGATCAGCCTACTGAGTTCCAGACAAGGACAGAAGAGGGATAGACAGAAGCTCAGTTGTAATGGGAGTAAGATAGAAAGTGTCCCATAAGTGGCAGGGGACAAAACCCAAGCTTGCAGAGCAAAACATGGGTAGCAAAACCCAAGAGCAGAGGTTGAGAAAAGTCATAACAAGCAGTGGTTCACCAGCGGAGAGAGAAGTAGGACAGAACAGAGCTCATGGTGCAATTGTGAACTTGTCCAAGCCCCAACCTGGCTCAGCACCTTCAGCTCACAGGGTGCAGACCCAAACCTCCAGTATAGGCCCTATTTCTGAACTGGGGACCTGAGGGGACCAGTAAGAGGCAAAACGCAGAGCCACTAAAGAGGGAGAGTGAGTACAGGAAGACAGACAAAAATGAAGGAGGAGGGGAAATCCCACTTGAGTTGAATTTACCAAAAAGGTAAAATAACTTCAAAGCACACGAAGAAAATACTCTAAAAAACAAACAAAAAATATGCCAACAAAGGAAGAAGTCATTCTCATAAAATGGAAATAGCAGAGCAATATTTTTTTAAAAAGACCAAAATAGTATGTCTAAAATTCTCAAAAACATCATAGCAATCTAAGCATTGCTACCCGCCCCCCATAATCACTATAAAAATTTTAAGAAAACAAACAGGAGATTATGAAACAGGATTCTTCCCTCAGACTGGGAAGAGATGTTTTAAAATAGATTTGAATTTAAAACAAGTGATTATTGAAAGGGTCCGATCAGAAATCCTGGAACAACAATATATATTTTTAAAAATAGGAAACCTCAATAGGTAAGAAAGGCATAGACTAAAGGCAATGGGGTAATAACAAAAAGAATCTGCATGAAAATAGACTTTGTTCACATCAAAGTACCTGTGTGTTGCTTAAGATTCCCCTGAGTAGTAGAAAATAAAAAATAAAGGATGGGATAAGAAGAGAGAGTTGAATGTTTGGCAAGACAGCCAAAGTAAGTTGTAAAGAAAAGAAGAGAAGAGAAGAGAAGAGAAGAGAAGAGAAGAGAAGAGAAGAGAAGAGAAGAGAAGAGAAGAGAAGAGAAGAGAAGAGAAGAGAAAAGGTTTATTGTGATGGTTCATTTTATGTGTAACTTGGCTAAGCTATAGTGCTCAGACCCTAGACCAGATGTTGCTGTGAAGGTATTTTGCAGATGTGATTAACCGTTACAATCAGTTGATTTTAAGTATGTGAGATTGCCCTTGATAATATGGGTTAAAAACCTTAAGAGCAAAAACTGAGATTTCCCAGAGGAGAAGGAATTCTGCCTTAAGATTGTAATATAGAAATCCTCCTGAGTTTCCAGCCTACTGGTTGCCCTACACATTTCAGAGGCAAGACAGTGACATCAACTCTTCTCTCAACTTCCAGACTGCCTCCTGCCCTACAGATTTCAGGTTTGCAAGCCTCCACAATTGTAAACCAACTCCTTCAAAAACATTCACATCTATATATTTAAAAAAAGTAAAGGATGAGAGTTCTTTTGTTTGTTTTTCCAAAAAGAAAGCAAAAGTTAGTTACCTGTTTAATAAGCAGCTTCCATATGGGTTGAATTTCCACCTCAATGGCATTGGGCCCACACACAAGTCTCCTGTAGGAGATTGATTGGTCATCAATTAGCGTCGTACTTCCAAACTCATGAATAAGTGAATACAGGCCAAAATGAGCAGAAGTTACTTCTCTATCTTTTTTGGGGATCTTGTGCTTTCAATTACAAATGAATGTGTAAATCCTAAAATACTAGTGTATTTTTAAAATAAAAGTCAATGCATGATGAGCAAAGCTGTTTTCCTGGGTTAAAAAATATCTTAAGTACAGTAAAGCTCAAGAGCCAAATGAAATTAGAAAGTTATTTTGAGTTGATTTTTAAAATAAATTGATTATAAAAAGCAGGTAAGCACACACACACACACACACACACACACACACACACACAAATAAACAAAACAACCCCCCCCCCCCCACACACACACAAACACCACAGACATGAAGATGTTCCTGGAATTTGCAGGCATTCTAGATTACTCTTGATGTTAGGGATCATGTCTGTCTTACCTTGTTCTCTCCAGCACCTAGCACAGGCCCTTAGTGTATGAACTCAAAAAAATACATGAATGAATGAGCCACAAACGAAGATCATATATGGTCTTCATGGCTAACAGCTTGCAAATCCAAACATATGTACATTACAAGAAGCCCTCGTGTTTGTACAGCATTTTATAATTTATAAAGCTTTTACAAAAGATTCTCCCATTTGATCCTCACAATAGTCCAGAGGAAAGGGCTAATATCCCCATTTTTTCAAAGGGAGAAACCATGGAGAGTGCATGTTTTGTCAAAGGTGCATAAATATAACATAAATAATGGCAGTGTGACTTTTGGGCAGAGATGACAGTTCAGAAACCGCAGTTAGCCTTTTTTTTTTTTTTAGATATTTTATTGATTTATGACAGAGAGGAAGGGAGAAGGATAGAGAGTTAGAAACATCGATGAGAGAGAAACATCGATCAGCTGCCGCCTGCACACTTCCCACTGGGGATGTGCCCGCAACCAAGGTACATGCTCTTGGCCGGAATCGAACCTGGGACCCTTCAGTCCGTAGGCTGATGCTCCATCCACTATGAAGTAGCAATGAAAATAATTTTATGGCTCGGTCACAACATGAGGAACTGTATTTAAAGGGCCAGAAGGTTGAGAACCACTGAAGTCTAAGAGGAAGTAAGCCCAGATTTGTCTTACTTGTAAGTCTTGTTGCTCCAAGTAAAATTATTACTTGCAATGGCCAGAGAGGACTCAATCCAAGGCCTTCTGGCTCTGTGCCATGAAAACACTGAGATTCAGAGATGTTGGGAAGCAGAGAGATAGAACTGCACGTGCTGCTGTTTGAATTCACAAGTCCCTAAACCTCACACTGGAAAGAGACTATAGCTGAAGTCATTTTGGTGCTAAGGATTTTTTTTCCAGGATTCATGGAAATAACCTGTTTTAGTCCAAGGATCAGAACTCCTCGGGATGCTGAACTTGGTCTTCTCTCTGCTTAGAATGCCTTCTCCACATTCTTCACTTTGTAAAAGCCTTCCCAGCCTTTGAGAGCCAAATCTGGCAATAGAGCCTAGTGGCTGAAAATTTTGAGATATAACAGACCTGGGTTTGAATCCAGCTAAGCCTTTGTACTTGCTTCCTGCACATGAAATCAGTTTTCTCCACATCTTTGCATGGCTCACTTTCTCATTTCATTCAGGTTTCTGTTCAGATAACACCTCCTTATTGGAGCCTTCCCTAATAATTCTTGTTAAAACAGCTACCCCAACCCCCAGTCAGATTCTCTATATCTCCTCAACCTATCTCATTTTTCTTTAAAGTGCATTTGATCATCTAAAATTACATCTTACTTTTTTACATATTAATAAGTATGCAAACTATAGATTGTATATCCACTGCAATATAGCTTCTAGAGGACACTGACTGATCCTGAATGCATAAAATAGGGTGGAATACATATTCTGCATTCAAGAATGTTTTGTTGAATGAATGACTAGGTGAATGAGAGGTGAGCCTTGATTCCCTATGGGTGAAATGGGTTTGATAATACAGGCCTAATAAAATTGCTATCAATAACAGGTGAAATAAATACATAAAGCATTTAGCATAAGTGCCTAGGACATGACCAATTGAAGTCTTCCCTACTCCAAACAAGCCTTTTTTTCTTAATAATAACATCTACTTCCTTGAATTGTTGTTACATATAGTTACACGCCTTTCCCTTAAATTTCCTAAACACTCTTTAATGGCATGGATAGAGCTTTTCAACTCTGTTTTTCCAGCATCTAGGAGCAGTGTTCTCTGAATGTTGGACTTAATCAGTGAGGACCTCTGTGACCCATGTCTAGAATACTCTCCCCTAGTAGGGCTAAAAACCCAGTTTGCAGAACTACAGCAGCACACAGGCTGGGGAAAGTCAATTCAGAGAGGAACAGGCCCAGGGCCCGATGCACTTCCGCTTTCCCTATGTGGTGAGATGGTCTCTGATGTTACTAGTAAGAGAGAGAAGCTTAGCAACCATGAGGACTGAGATCCAGAGGATTAAACTTGCTGAAGATTATCCTCTTTAGGGCTTATCTGGGCCATGTTGGAATGCCCCTTGCTGCTTCATCTTTTCCAGTATCTCTTGCCAAAAATATTGTGTGTTTAGGGATTGTGTGCTCATCTCAGTCTCAGCACAAGCCAAACAGAACTTTCAGGGACAATGACCAATGGCTGAGCAAAGGAACATGAGGCTTGAAGCTGGGTCCCCCGAGGAAAATTCCAAGGAACAAAGCAGATTATATGCCCTGACTTTAAAATCTGATGAGCTGGCAGGGAAAGGAGGCCAGAGAATTATTCCAGGTGGCCTTGCAATACTAAATAGGCTGAATGCAACTAAGTAGACTTGCCTAATATTCAGAACTAGTCATTATAGGAATAGTTGGTTTGGAGATAGAAGATCCCTCTCCAAAAGAGATTGAAGAATTTTAACAGGGAAGTTATGGAGAGATTTTCTGCACCAGCTGTAAGCTAGACTTCCTACAATCATAAGATATTAGTAAATCTACTAGAGTATTTATTTATGAAAATCAAAAATGTAAATAAATAGAAATAATTTCTTTTGGAGATGGTCTGTGTTTTTTTAAATTTGATCATGCATACATCCATTCATTCATTTATCAGTTTATTAACCAAACTAGAGGCCTGGTGCAAGAAATTTATGCGCTCGGGGGCAGGGGGTTCCCTCAGCCTGGCCTGCACCCTCTCGCAATTCGGGAGCCCTTGGGGGATGTCCACCAGTTGGACATCCTTAGCGCTGCTGTGGAGGTGGGAGAGGCTCCTACCATCATCACTATGCTCGCCAGCCGTGAGCCTGGCTTCTGGCTGAGCGGAGTTCCCCTGTGGAAGCATACTGACCACCAGGGGCAGTTCTTGCATTCAGCATCTGCCCCCTGGTGGTCAGTGTGTGTCATAACAATTGGTCATTCAGTCGATTTGCATATTAGCCTTTTATTATATAGGATAATTGCTGAGAATATGTTGTGTGCTAGACACTTTAGGTTCCACTTGATGAAGACTAGAGTGGTCCTGACCAGAGAAGGACTGTGTTAGAATTACTAGTGAGCTTTTTTCAAGCTACATATGACTGCTCTGCTTGCATTTTGATAAGCCACCAATAGAGTGGGAGACTTGTAGTTTTCCAAGCAGTTAATGCCATGCCATGACACACTCTGTGAACTCTGGAGGTTTTAGGAAGCAGATTTATAGAGTTTTTAAAAATTCCCACGCATGAGGGTCTGGAAAGCAGAAGACCAGGAGGGCAAGGGGTGGAGGTGGGGGCTGAGAAAACCCAGGCAGGATCTTCCCAGGGTGACCCAAGCCTTGGGCTTACTGGTGTCACCATAGTCCTTTGCTCTGAACAAGGCACTGAGGTTAAATGATTTTATATCTTGAATGGACTCATACCCATAGAACCAAGGATGTGACAAATACAATTTATCTAAAAGAGAATGTGGATCTCAATGGCTCATTCAATTTGTACTAAATACCCTATGAAAACTATAATATTTTAAGTAATTTATTAACTTCTAACTAAATGTTAAACATTGCCTCTCTCCTCTACTCCAACCAACGCTTCCTTCCTAAGCATGAGTGTCTATAATTGGAATGTTTTCTAGGAACAGAGCTTGTGAAGGGGATAAAAGTCATGGTATAAAAGCATGATTTCTGTTCTGACTTTTGCTACCCACAAGACCTGAGGAGTAAAAGAGTAGGGTCTCAAAGCAGCCCTAATCCCTTTATCTCTCCTGCCTCCCTCTTGATTCTTCTTTCTCTCTGTTTCAATAATCTCTCTTCTCCTGGAAAGCTTCCACCAGCTTGGGGATGAGCATTAATAGAATTGCTTTCCTCTGGTACTAACAGGCATGCCTTTTTGCTCAATGGTGTGACAAATGTTGAAAATTAAGTTTGGCCCTGCAGAACCACTGAGCCTAAGGTAAGCATCTCTTTTTCACTCCACATTCAGGGATGTCACACCATTGGATGGAAATCAGCCATGGTGAGAGTAGTTCCATTACAGAAATTGGCAAACTCTACCCATCAAAGCTTTTTTTCCTTCAGAGTGCTGGGTTACCAAGAAGGTAAATTGTTTGGAGCTAATGCCATTAGGAGGTGTCTGCTATCTCCACTGCCAGAAAGTTCCCCTTGTCTTTTTAGGAGATTAAACAAAGGAGGCAAGAGGAGGCATGGGCTGAGTAAAGAGAAAATGAAGAGATGCTCAATTTAAAAACTGTCCTAATAGGAAGACTATGAGATGGATGGGGAGTGAGTAGACTTGGTCTTCCCATAGGGCCCTGTTTCCATGAGATAAGAGAATTAACTCAAGTGTACATGAACCTGTTGAGGACCAATTCCAAGAAAACTTGCGTTGAGTTCATGAATGAGTGAAGCTAGGAGCATAAAACCTCCTGGAATAATCTTGCTTTCATTCTGATGCCCTTTGACAAATTCTCTCCATGGTAAAGGTATCTCTTTTCATGCCCTGATTTACTTTTTGCTACTTAAAAGTGAGAACTATGTAAATCTGTGTATTTTCTCTCCTTTCTTGGCTCCTTGGAAGGCTAAATAAGAGACTAAATTTAGACTGTGGATTTTCATCATCCGAGATTTTTGGGTATTTCCCTTCCTTTATTTCTCATATCATGCCCTTACTTTTCATGCAAGCAAGCCCAAGGAAATTGATATCACTCAACCAGTCAGATTTATTTTTTAAAAGGTTAGTTTTACACTAAAAAATGAAGGAAAAAATAGGGATAAAATGTTCCATATTCTATTTATTGCCATTACCCTCCAAAGAGATAAGCCCATAAAATAAAATTTGCCTATATGTTTATAAGTAGATTATCTCCTCAATTCTTTGTATTTGGAAAACTGTACTCTGTCTTGTTTATTAGATTGTCAAGTTCTTTATTGTGTGGAGCAGATTTAAATTTAATTATGTATGATGTTTATCAAAGCCTGGGCTTGATAAATAAGGACATGTGAGGTGGCTGCACTGATGGAAATCTTTCCTGCAGAAATGGTTTTCTCTACAATATATCTACATTTATCAACTAGATTTCCTAAATGCCCTAGATCAATCTTTTAAAGTCTTGTGCTTAATGCTATTAAATCAATATGTTTTAATGAGTTTGAAAACTTTTTGTACTCAATATATTAAGCATTGCATCTGAAATGTCATGTAATGATACCATTTCAAAGGCATTTTGCAATGTTGTCATAGTCTAGATGCTTGCTTCATTTTTTCATAGTGTTCAATTAAAGAGAAAACTTACAAACAATAGATGAGCAATTCTCAGACTTGGGGTGCATAAGAATTATGAGGGTGCCTGATAAATAAGCAGTTTCTTCTCTTATCACTACTTCTACCTTCTACCTACTAAATCAGAATTGTGGGAGTGGAGTTCAAGGACCTGTATTTTAAGCACCAAATGTCTTCTTAGCTTTAGAATTAGTGTTTCTGCCTGACCACAAAAAAGGTCAGGCAGATAATGTCCCTAAAAGTGGGCAAGAAATGAAGCTGCTTATTAAAATTTGGGGGAAGGCTTGCAGTGGTTTTCTTGCAGATTCACCAGGATTTTCCACTTCGGTTTATAGATGAGGAAAGTGAGGATTCTAGAGCACAGTGAGTTAATGCATAGCATAAGCATTTCCTATGCTACTGCCATTATTCTTAACCTATGTGCTACTAGAGATATCATTCTCACAATCGTACAACTATTCTTTTTCTCTAGTCAGTAAATGTCCCTGGGATGATGACTAAGTCTTATTTGTTTTGACATCCCTAGTGTCTTGCAAACTGCCTGGCATATTAGAGGCATTTTGTTAATAGATCCATGAATGCATTCATGTATTCATTCATTCATTCCACAAATATCTGTCGAGCTCCTATCATGAATCAGGCACTGTCCCAGGTGCTGCAAATACAGTAGTGAATGACATAACCAACTGAACAAACAAAATCCTCATCTCCAAGGGCTGTTCTTTAAAGTAAAATGCAATCATAATACTGTCTTTGTCTCTCTAATGATGGGAGGATTAAGAAGCTGATGTTTATGAAATGTCTCAAAACGTTTTTGAGAAAAAAATTAAAAAGACAACACAGAGAAAACTATTGTACAATCCTGAAAGAAAGGATCAAATGTTATTGGATTGCATGGTTCTTTTAGTCTTTTCTTTTTAATAAGTTTGCCCATGATGTGAACAATTTAGAATATCTCTTCTGATACCAGCAAATGAGCTGGGATTATATGAAGTTGATGAAGCATTATGCCAACAATTCACTGAGCACACGCCATTTGATATTACAATTTCTGCTGGCAGCATTCTCTCAGGGGGTACTGCAAACCTTACCTGACCTCCCGCTCTTCATGGGTCAGACCCAGGCCGAACATATGATGGATGTCATAGCAGGAGTGGCTGTCTTCCAGCAACCTAGGATGCGGTCAGGACAGGAACCACACTTCAGTTCATGGCATGCAACAAATCACTGTTCTTCCCTTATATCCTGATGCAGAACCAAGAAGTCAGACTTACCCCACTTTCTGAAATCTCTTCTCCAAGTTGTCCCAAACATACCTAATTTTCTGCACTTGGATACATCGTAGCTGAAATGACAAATGTGATAGGAAATATGTCATTCACAAAGTCAAGCTTGTCAGGGAAGGGGAGGCTTGTTTAATGAAGGTCCCCACACAGCCCTCCCTTTTGTTAATGGATAGCTATAATTCCCAATCCAGCCGTGGGGTATTCAAACCTTCATCTAATAAACACTTACATCACTTATTTTGGCAAAAACTTGCCATAACAATGCAGTCTTAAAATCACTTACTTTTAATTCTGGTTTCAATATGGCATGGTTTATGACAGAGTGGCGGTCAGCTACAAGGGGCTCTTCCGGGTTCTTGCTTATAGGAAACTTCAGTGTGGATAAGTAGAGGTAGATCACTTTCTTCCTGATATATCTTTGAAATTCATCCTAGATATGACAACCCAGCCTGTGAAATTCTCAACTGTTATTCAGTAAGGCACTCAATCAACCAAATCCCTGCCAAGTGCCAGACCAGTGTTTCCCAAAGTTTGGACCACAGACAAGAGCATCAACATTATCTTGGAAGTTGCTAGAAATGCAAATTTTCAGTCCCACCCAAAACCTACTGAATCAGAACTTCTGGTGTTAAGGCCAACAGTCTGTGTTTTAAAGAGCCCTCTAAGTGATTCTGACTTGCACTAAAATTTGAGAACCACTGTGCTGGAGAATAAAGAGAAAAATAGACTTTTCAGGAAAACTTTCTATTCAGAAAATAGTTTCTGGCTACCTCAAAATCCCATCTACATGTTTAAATGTCTAATTTCCCTCAGAATACATACTTTTGAAAGATTGAACGATCATTCCCTTGTTATGTTTCTAAGAGCTGTAACACTGGCAGCCACTGTTCATGTAATTGCTAAGAGCATTGCCAACTATCCTGACATGGTAGAAATTTCCCCAGTCTGACATGCAAGAAATGGCCGTCATTCCTGGGTTAAAATAAGAGATGTCAAATAGATTGCAAAGGTGGTTTTGCCATCTCCTATTTTGGGACAGGAAAATTCTTTAAATGAAGAAAGCTCTTCCCTCTGAAGTGCTAGCCAGTCATTGGTTGTGCCACAAATGCAACACAATAGGGTACCCACAGTTGTCCTTAGCAGAACAGTATCTGCTTCTTGCAAGGGGCACGGGATGCAAGTGGCCCACACTCTCCACTGGGGCCTCCAGTAGAACACCAGCAGAAGGACCCCACACGTCAGCACCGATGCTGCAAGGCAGACGGCTCTGCGAAGAGTCTGGGTCTGGTAACCAAACACCTCCTGCAGAGAAATAAAAGATCACTCTATCTTTATTTTTTCACATAAACATATCATTTTGTTCCTAGAAACAGACTTTAGATGTGGGGGTGTTGATGGGGAGAGAAATCTGGCTTTCTTCAGATTTCTGGCTGGTTGAATTAGATTGATTGCTTACAGCTGTCAGCTGATAGAGTAAAAAAAAAAAGGGGGCTCATTTTACTACCCTGGCATATGGAACTAAGACATTAGACAGGAAAAGCAAGGAAGGGTCAGAATTATTTGGTTCTAAATACTCTTAAGAGTCACCACATAATTTTATAAAATACTTCATGCTCTCTACCAGTTCTATTTTCTTTAAGTATAAGTTTTTTAAAAAGTATTAATATCAATTTACTAGAGGAAGATGATAAAATAATGACAGAAGATGATCCACACTTAATTCAAATTCATTCAAATTCAGCTTTGTTTAATGATAACAGGATTGAGAAGAATTGAAAGTATTAACTCTACTACTTTCTGAACCAGTAGGATGATATAAATTAAGAGAATATTTGTGACATGAAAGACTTTCAAAAGACAGCTTAAAGGTATTCACTCAAAGAGTAACTTGATGAAATAGTTCTACTTTTAGTAATAGGTTAGTTAATATTTGTTTATAAATTGAATAAAGACTTAAGATGCAATTTTAGGGGAAAACAAGTAGCCCAAAATAATATATTTGTTTGTTTAAAGCCAATTTATAGTTTCCATCTTCTACAATGAAGATTCACAGTACTGTATAGTTTTTTAAAATTGTATTTCTAAAACTAGATTTTTCAGACAATAAAATGGTGGTAACCAGAGGATCAATGGGTGGGGAATAAGAGTGATGGTGTCTAAAGGTACAAATCTATAATGAGTACAAAAATAGCCATAGAGATTTAATGAACATAGACAATAATATTGTACTATAAGTATGTAATGTGATAAATATTACATCAGCAACCATATTACAGTATATAAGTATACTAGAGGCCTGGTGCACAAATTTGTGCACCAGTAGGGTCCTTCGGCCTGGCCTGTGGGATTGCACCAAAACAAAACCAGCTCTCCAACATCCCCTGAGGGGTCCCAGATTGCAAGAGGGTGCAGGCCAGGCTGAGGGACCCCACTGGTGCACAATCGGGGCTGGGGAGGGATGTGGGAGGTGGCCAGCCAGGGAGGTATGGTGGGAGGGCTCCAGGGCATGTCTGGCTGGTCTTGCTCAGTCCCAATTGGCCAGACCCCAGCAGCCAGCTAACCTACTGGTTGGAGCATCTGCCCCCTGGTGGTCAGTGCACATCATAGCGAGCAGTTGAGCGGCCTTAGCACATCATTAACATGTTACACGTTGATTGGTTGAACAGACGACTGGACGACTGGACACTTAGCATATTAGGCTTTTATTATATAGGATTAAAGAAACGTGCTACCTTAAATTTATACAATATTACCTGTCAAATTTTTCCAATAAAGCAGCCTAGATTTTTAGTGTATTTGGAAGGGCCTAAGGGATGCTGATTATGAATGACATTGTTGCTATACTATGATTTTAGGTTCTGCTATTATTTGTGTGTGTGTTTTTCTATGACTATGAACTCCTATGTCCAGATCATAGAGCTGTAATGTCAAGGCAGTAAGTTTTCACTGAGTTTCTGAAGCACTTTCAAATAATGGAATCTTCTGAATTTTATACCAGTTTAGATTATGTTATAATAAATCTCTTGGCTGTATTCTTTGGAAAAGTTTTCATCTTCAATATGGTTATTTTCATTAAGTTTTTCTAATAACTCTGTGGTAGATGAAGATTTTAATAACAAGTGTTGAAAGCAATCCTTAAACATAGTGGAGAGGTCACAGGCTTAAGAAACAAGAATGTAAACTTGAGTCACCTGCCTGCCAGTTATGTGAACTTAGCTAAATCCTTTCACCTCTAGGGAATCCCAATTTATTCCTATACAAAAAAAAATAGAGTAGAAATATGTGCCTTACAGGGTACTTATGCTCAAATGAGATAATGTCTCCTCAAGTGCTCTGCAAAGTAATTACAATTTTGAGTTCCTTTCCACTGTTCCTCAGCACTATCACCCACCTGAGGAAAGATGTTCATTAAGTTTAGTGATGCAGCCACTGTATTTTGAGATTATTCACACTAAGGTTTAAATGTTACTTAGAAGCATGTGTTCATTCTGCTTTTAAGCATATTTTCAGTTGGTCTCCTTTCTCCCTAAACTTCCTTCTGATCCTATAAACCTGTTTTGGTTTCATTTGTGAATTTACTTATTTATAGTTTTATTAGTTTTATCAAATAAAATGTATATGCCAGTTCACATATTATGTCATAAATAATTGAAAGTATTAATAACTGTACCAGTAGGAAGATATAAATTAAGAGATTATTTGTGGACATGAAAAACTATCAAAAGACAGCTTAAAGGTATCACTTATTTTACTAAGTGATATAGAGGGGTTTATTGCCAAAGCCCAAGTGTGTGCGAAATAGATGAAGAAGAAATTTTAGTCCAGCTTACAGTAAAAATGACATTTGTAAATGACTTCTCCCCTTTCTGTTTATGTACCCACATCAATGACATTGGTAATCACAATTCTGATTCCTTTCCATTCTTTTTTATACAACAACTTTTTATTTTAAAAAAGGAACTCATAATGCTGGCAAGGCTGCAATGAAACCACTACAGCTACATACTGCTAATAAGCTTATAAATTAGAATAATTATTTAGGAAAAGCAAGGTGACAAGAATTATATCAAATTGTATCAAGAATTATAAGGATGTTTCTATTCCTTGAGTCCGTGATTCCATACCCTAAGAAAATACACCCTAAAAAGTACACCTTAAGAAAATATGCATAAAGTAGAAATTTGTGTATATAAAGATGTTTGGTGCAGAATTATCTGTAACAACAAAAGTTATTGAAAGAACAAATGATAACTAATGATGCAGTAAGATGTGAAACATCAAAACAATGGACTATTGAGGAGCCATTAAAAACAAAATGCATGAAGACAAGGTAAACACATGGGACATTCTGTGATATAATGTTAAGTGAAGAAAATAACAAAGCACAGGTTGAATAGATGGAAAACAAAGAACAAGATTATGAACTTTAACTCAATTATATCAGTAATTACATTAAATGTAAATGACTTTAATTGTGTGATTGAAAGCAAAGATTGTCAGACTAAAATAATAAAAGAAGAACCACTATGTGTTGCTTACAAGAGACATATTGTAAATATAAAGAAGCAGACATGAATTATTTAAAAGAAGCAGATAGTGTAAAAGGAGGAAAAAAAGGGGAAATGTGCCATGCAAAGATTAACAAAAGAAAATTGTTACAGCTATATTCATATCAGATAAAATTGACTTTAGGGAAAGAAATATTATGAGAAAAAGGACATTTCATAAGTAAGCTAAATGATCAACAGGAAGACAATAATCCTAAATTTTTGTGCACCTATAAACATAATTTCTAAATTTATAAAGTAAAATTGATAGAAATTAAATCCATTCTCATTATTTCTCAATAACTGATAAGACAAGTAGACAAAAAGAAAACAAAAACAGTAAGACTACCGGAAGTTTGAACAACCTCATTAACTAAATTGTCCTAGTTAACAAATACAGAAAATCACAGCCCCAAACTGCATGATTCAAATTTTTTCAAGTACACATAAAGTATTTACCTAAATTGACTACATTATGTAATGATGGCATTATAATTAAATTAGAAATTAACAGAATGATAACTTTAAAATTCCCAAATGTTTGAAAACGAAGAAACATATTTCTGAACACAAGTGAGTCAAATAAAAAATTACAACAAACATTAGGAAATATTTTGAACTGAATGAAAATAAAAATTGACAATAGGGCCCCAAACTTCAAACATCTAAAAATACATTAACAGAAGAGAGATAAATAAATGTTGTGCTTACATACAATGGAACACTACAAAACAATAAAAAGGAATTAACTTCTGACAAACACAACATTTCAGACATTATATTGAGTAAATGAAGTATCATAAAGCAATGCACAATTCTACTTAGATCAGTTCAAATTCAGCAAAACTGATGAAAGTTATTAAGATAAATGAACTTTTTTTAAACGTTTTGATTTCAGAGAAGAAGGGAGATGGAGAGATAGAAACATCAATGATGAAAGAGAACCACTGGATACCTCCTGCACACTCCCCATCAGGGATTGAGCCCTCAACCCAGGCTTGTGCCCTGACCAGGAATCCAACCATGACCTCCTGGTTCATGGGTCCATGCTCAACCACTGAGCCACACTGGCCAGGCTATTTTTATAAATTTATATAAATACACCCACTGTATTTATATGTTAAAATGTTTTAGAAAAGTGGAATGAATTTGTTTATTAGACACTGTTCCAAGCAGGTAGAAGATATTTTAACTATTTTAATAATATTAGATGGAGAAAGAAAAAACGGCAGCATAATATTAGAAATGAATAAAGAAAGAGAGAGACAGAGAAGTGACTTCTATGGGAAATGGGGGGTTTGGTGACCTGGGGAGACTGTAGATGCTTCCTGGTGTAGGTGATTGGGAAGAACTGACTTCCCTTAAAGAAGAGGTAAAATCACTGAGATGGGGAAGAGGATTCTGATAATGACTCTGCTTATGGCTGGAACACCTCAATCAAAATGTCAGATTTCTTTCCATCTGTTAAAAAATTAATCATGTAAAAGTAAGTAAATAAATAAGAACTTGTGAATGTCAGCATAATGTTCAGATATGTGTAGCTCATTGAGCAAAGTGAACAGAAGCAATGTTTTGCTTCTTTAATAAACTGACCTCATAATCCTTGGTAAAATTTCTTTCTAGACCATTTCTCAGTCTTCCCAAAAGTTATAGTGCTGGATATGGGACTTGAGGTTTTGTCTAAAAGAATCACTATTTTATCTGGCATTCTTTTAACCAAATACTCTTAAACGTGTTTGTGTGTTTCCACTTTGA